GGGCGGCGGCCCCTTCTTCGGGACGCAGAAGCGATCTGGCGACAGGTAAGTTGCCAGGATCGCTTCTGTTGTAAAGCCGACAGTCGGCTCTACAAGTTTAAACAGAGTCCCGGCGGCAAAAGTCGCCGGGAGTCTGTTTAAACAGCCCCGATGCTGGCGACGTACACTGTACGTCGTCAGTCACGAAGGGGTTAACAGAGGTCACCGAAGCATAAACTGAGGGCACATTTCTGACTCACGTTACAGCAGTGCAGCAAGATCTCCTAAAGCTCCTCAGACATGTTACAATCTGATTGTACAATCAACTTTACACCATGTAAATATGAGGGCCTACCAAAACTATCCAACCGATCTGTGTCCAATCAGACAGGCCCTTGTAGTAATAGTTCTTGGGAAATCTGAAGCTCATCACACACACACTTTACAATCTGATAGTACAAGCACCTTTAGATCCACCATGTAGTGCAAGGGCCTGCCTGATTGGATGGTGTAGGTAGGTCCTTAGATTATATTGTTTTTGTAAAACTAAAGTTTATAGTACAGAGACAGTATAGCTAGATTGTAATGTGTATGGTGACCCCCAAGGCTGATCATACACATTACAATGTGACAGCACAATCATTTTTAGATCTACCAAACCTATCACCTAATCTATCCAATTAGACAGGCACGTTCACTACAGACTTGTTAGTAGATCTGTGCAATCAGATTTTAACATGTGTGATGAGTTTGACACTCAGGTTGTTCTACATAACATGGACTCCTGGGCAGTCCAACCCCATAGCACACCCCCCATTGCTATCTTATCTTTATCAGCCTTCATACTGATCCCCTATACAAGGTGTCTCCTATAGTCTGTCGATACCTACCAGCATCTGGTATAGGAATACCTCCAGGCCTCTATCTGACCAGGGCCATTTAAAAAGGGATCTAATTATCGCCAGGGCACTTTTCACAATCGTTAGCACAGGCATGACTCGGGACCAGTCATCAGAATGAAGAGCGGAGCTCTCACACACACACACAAGGGCAGCTCAGCACTGCAGTAGGCCAGGAATATACACAAGTGCTGCCATGCACCAGCGTCCCTTGCTGACCAAGCTGCCAGTGTACATCTGATCATCGCAGAGCTGAACAGAGGCCGCCATGACTGTGCTGACGTATGGCAGGGTCACCAGACTGATATGCTTATTGACATCATACAAAGTAACAAGAGCTGTCATTTATGGACAATGAGAACAGCAATCAGCTGAGGAAGTATAATCTGCAGATGTTATGGAATATTAAGCGTCCATACTGGGTGGGAACACCATGGACTCAATGCAAACCAATCAGGTACCATCAATTCAATGGCAATCACAAGGACAACATAGACCACATCTGGGACCATTCATGTTCCAGCAAGGTAGCCCTCCCTCATATTGAAATGTATGCTGCCATAGATGTCTCTCTGTGTGAATGTGAATATATATAGATCTATAGCTATATATATATATATTTTATACTGTGGCCCTCTGATTCAGCCACTGAAGGGCCGTTGACCTCTGACCGGTCGCACTGTCTCTATCATGGTCTCATCTCCCCCCTCCCTCCAATCAGCCAGTTCACGTGTCTGCCCGACTCACCCACAGAGCCGGAAGAGGGAGCGCCGTACGGCAAGGCCGCTATGTCGTGCTCTTCCACAGGCGCGCTTGGGATGACAGGGAACCGGGGGATGTCGCTGCTGATGCTGCTGGGCTCCTCGTCCTCCGGTGACGGTTCCAGGCTGTCCGAATAGCTGGGCTTTTCTTCGTCCTCCTCCACTGCGTGCTTACCGGGGAAGGAGACGGCGAAAGCCGGGTGGGTGTACTTTCCCCCAGTCAGGTCCAGCACGTCGTCCATTTCATCCTCCGCTCCCAGGTACAGCTGCTCGTCGGGTTTCGGGGCATCGTGAGTGGATGACACATAGTGAGACTGGTCCTCCATGGTGGGGCAGCTGGGACCGGCTCGGACACTGTGTATGTGCGCTGCCGGTGCTGGAGAGAAGTGCGCCACACTGCTGCACCCACTCTTCTCAAGACTAACCAATCAGCCGTTCACAGGGCGGGACCAGAGCTCCCTGACTAACCGCCCACCATTACCATGGGAAGGGGGGGCAGGCTGGAATGAGTGAAAACTATTATCCAATCAGAATAAGGTCTAGACAAGAGAGGGCGGTTACCATGGAAACCGTCACGAACCGCTGTGCCTTGTTGCCTTTGAAGGACAAGTGGATTAACCAATAGCTGGACGCGAACGACACATTCCGGAACTGGCCGAGGAATGAGAAAATTTGCCGAGTGCTTTTTGGCACAGTGCGGCGAAAAAAGAAAATGTCAGTTACCTTGGTAACAGCTTTCCCGCCAATAATCAAGCGCTTCCGTTGGAATGATTGCCAATAAAGGCGCGCGAGCGCTTCGGTAGGCGGGGCTTTGACTTGTAGCCAAGCCTCTGGGGATTCAGGGAATAGTGTGGTGCTGATGGAGCGAGGCGGAGAGCAGTGTCTATGGCCTGCATAGTCCAGCTGTCTAGATATCTGACAGCTAGCTCTGCCTATTGGGGTCGCTTGACAGGCGGCTGCTGCAGCTTCCACATTAAAGATATGCTTGCTAGTAATTGCAATGACTACCAGGGGCAGCTTGCAGGTGAAGAGGCTGACATGGGCATTTGGCCTATCAGCCCCCTTTGGATCTGATGTACAATCTTTGTAAATAAATGCACCATTTGCTCCGTGTCCTCTGTGTACTGTGCTGTTTTCTATACCTGGATGAAGAAACATGGCTGACGTTACCAACGGCAACTGGTCAAATGTCCACTTATCATCAATCTGATGTCAGTAGGTGGCACAGCCTTTATTATCATGTCTAAGAGGGTATAAACTCAAGAATACAAATGTCATATATTGCAGCTTACTAGTACAATATAGAGAGAGAGAATCAGCATTGTCATTCTAGGGCAGGATTACAGAACAAACCCCTCCTCTTCCCTAAAACCTTGGGGTTCTGTAGTACCAAGAGATAGCAGGGAACAATGTTACTAGGTCAGCATAGGTCGATATTAGAAGATTTCTGGCAGGATCACCAATTCTATGAAATAGAAACACTTTGAATGTTATATAGTGTATAGCAGAACAGTGCCTAGGATATAAAAGAAGTTGAATGTCAGGGTTTCCAGGCAGATATAAAGAAATGCAGCTCTGTATTCTTTTATACGTCATAAAGTGGAACGCCAGCCCAAAAAAATGATAAGCTATCCTTTGCAAGGTTGCCGTTATATATGCACATTGTCATTGGTGTCATTTGTCACTAGAGGTGCACCGAAATGAAAATTTAAAAACCAGAATGAAAAAAAACATTGAGCCGAAACCGAAAATGTTTTTATTTATTTATTCATTTTTATTAAAAACAAGTATTTTTGTACTTTACTTTCAGGGGCTCTGGGAAATATTAGGAGTCTAAACAGACCCCCGATATTTCCCTTTAAAATAGAAAAAGTGATTGAGGACACAGAGTCCTTAATCTCTTATTCTGCAGCCCCTGTTATCAATGAACAGGAATCCTCTATATACTGAGTGCTCCTGTTCATTCATAACATGAGGACACAGTGGGGGGAATTTATTAAAACTGGAGCAGACAAAACCTGGAGCAGATTTGCACTGCAGCCAATCAGCTTAAGAGAGATTCTGATTTGTTGCCATGGGCAACTGCTACAGACTGTCTGCTCCAGTTTTGATAAATCCTGCCAGTGTATTTGCTATAACCACAATCATGAATGCACTGGCGGAACTACCAGAGTCGCAATTGCGACCGGGCCCTGGTGTTCCGCCTGTTGGGGGGGGGGGGCCCAGAGAGGAAGCAGAGGGCCCGAAAGCTTCCTCATGCCCCCCCCTTCAGATAGCGCCGCTCCATCCCCCACCGCTCTGCATGTATGAGCGGCTGTGCGGGATAGAGAGGCGCCTCTGTGTGTCACTTGTCTTCCTGGTGGGACCGCTACCGACACAACAGGCCAGGCAGCACATTCTTCAGCTGGGACTGGGAGAGGACGGACCCTCTTCACTCGGCCCCGCCCCCTGGCCGCCAAAGACGAGGAAGCTGAGCGGCTGTAGGAGTCAGATAAGTCCGGTGTGGGGGGAAAGGGGTGGAAGACAAACTAATTTTATATTTATTCACATTATAATGTATTGATGGGACTTGTAGTCCTGCATAGTTGGAGCTATTCTGCATTACTGTATAATCATTATACAGCAATGCAGAATAGCACCAACTATGCAGGACTACAAGTCCCAGTCCTAAACAATTCCTACAGTTATTTTGACAGCTAGCAGGGCCGACTAGCAGGATACTGAAGCTGGGCCCAAGTGGGAGATTCCTCCATGCACACAGTTTAGCATAGATGGGGGAATCTGTTGCACTTTTTCCATCTGACCATAGAAAATCTGCAATTAATTGTAAGGTGTATGGCCAACTTAACACTTACCTACATCAATTTCTGATCTAATTATTTACATTTTGGTTTTATTTTTGTTACATAGCTTGTATCGGGGAGAGAAAGTTACACTGGGGACTTTTATCACTTCTGTCACATGGCACAGCATTGCTAAACAGGGGCGGTGAGACCATTTGTGATTCATTACTTGTTACTGCATGAGTCACAAATTCTTCCCTTAGCTGCTCTAAAGTAGCACAGCAACAGAATAAAACCTGGCCCCGACCACTCCTTATTTATGCGTCTGTTTAGAGTGAAATTCTGTCACATCTTCATTAATAAATATGTCGCAGACCTTTTTTTGGCTATTACGGTGATCACATGATCAGGAGCCGATCATTAGGTTCAGACTAGGAGCTGTCAGCAACTGCTCAATAAAGCACGTTTTCAGTACAAACACATGCCACATATACAGTATACACATCATGTATATGGCTGCATTTATGTGGATGCTGGCAGGAAAGGTTACATAGTTACATAGTATTTGAGGTTGAATAAAGACATTAGTCCATCAAGTCCAACCTATTAGGATCTCATTCTAGGAGTACCCGTACCCCTGTATATTACGGTCCCTTAAGAAATCGTCCAAAAGTTTCTTGAACAATTCCACATTCTTTGCTGAAAGTTAAAGTAGGGTTTATATTAGGTTTGGTATTTGCATTGTCTATGGTGATTTACTTTCCCTGGTTTCATTGTACACCATGAGGGTCATCCTCCTCATCACTGTATACTGTGCCATAGCATAGTGTTATTACCTTCCTATCACAGCCAGAAATCTTATACTGTTGCTGCCATGGCATACCACAGATCCCAGGTTTTTAATATGTTGCTTTGGATATTATAACAACATGGATAAAAACATTGCTAGCATTGTTCCTGCTGCTCAGTGTTGTACTTCAGAAAGGGGAAGTAAAACCAGTTTATAGACTGTTTAGGCTTTATGTGCTGCCATTTCTTTCTCTTTTCTAGAGCTCCTTCACAGTGACATTTTGTTATCATCTCTGCCCAGACCGAAAGCATTTGTACCTGGGAGCAGTAAAATTAATCGCTTATCTTTAGGGAAGTCATTTTGTAATACAGTGCAAAGCATGCAGACATTACAACCTGCAAAACCTTATTTCAGGGAGGTTCCCGTCTCATTTCAGGGAGGTGCCCTTTCGTTTTTTTGGGTTTTTTTTATAGCGGCCGTCGTCAGAATATAGAAGAAATAATAATGATTATATATATATATATATATACAACAGCTGACTAGTTGCTATGGGCAGCAAATGAAATAAATGTTCTTTATAACTAGACAACCGGGACATATAATTGATTCTATATTATCCACAAAGGGTTAACAGCACTCTCTCAACCCTGTAGCAATGAATGTACCTGCTCTCAATAGTAGCCTATGTCCGCCCTCTCTGTGCAGCAAGTAGCTTATTCCTTCTGAGAGCCAAGCCTCTTTCTGAGGCTACTCTAGAGATCACATGACCTTCCTCCAGGAGGCAAGCCTCACTCTGAAACATTACCCACTGATATCTTATCGGAAAGGTTTACTCAGAGTAAACCTTTCAGGGAGAAAATGCCTCTCTCGCGGACGTCAGGGAGCCGCTATCTAATAGCGGGAGACTCGCTGAACATCAGGGAGACTTAAGATCCGTGAGCATGCAATAAAGTGTAACAATTAACTTCTCTTATTGGCTACCTTTTAGTTTGTTACAATTGGAAGAGTTTTGTTATATCTGTTCAATACGTGTAAAAAATACCTGCTATCCTGCGACTCTGAGGGCCCATTCACTTACAGCGGTGACTTGCATTGTATTGCACAAGATCAACATAGGTCACCGCAAGGACACATAGAAAACAATTGTTTTCTATGTGTTCTATTCACACCATAACATGGGTGTGTTGGGCAGTGCGCTATGATAAAATACTATGATAGAATACAAACATGCCGCATTGCGCTGACCTGCAGGTACCTGAATGGAGTGTACACATTGTACACTTCACATAAAGTTGAAAAAAAACAATGTAAACAGTGACGGCTCCGACAGTGTGCGATATAACACACACTAACAGAGCTGTCACAACACACTAGACCGTCCTCTGAAACACAGCATTTTAGCGGAGGGAGCTAATGGATGCATCTGAATGGGAGTTAATTGGATGCAAGCACCATTTGGCTGACAATTTCTCCACCCGGACTAACAGGGCCTCCCACAGTTCAATTTTTTGGAATTCAAGCAGTGTATGGCTCCCACAAGCATGGCCCTCCTAACTCTCTTGTATTTAAAGTGACACTAAACTCAGGAGTTAAATCTAAAAAATGCATTCAAGTACCTTAACTATTAACAAAAATATATCTTATTTGTGTATCACTCGGCTGTAGATCCTCAAATCATCTCTGAATTGGTGCTGACACTGTCCTTCCTTCTGAAGGGTGGCTACTTTTGTTTCCCATGGTCCCTGTGTGTGTTATAAAGTAGTCACCACTCCAAGTCTGCTCCTGTGATGGACTACAATCTCACTTTTAGTTTAGTAATTTGT